CTAAATGAAGATAACAGTACTTTAGAAATTAGTCGTATCAAGTATAAAAGGTAACAGATATTTTTTTAATGATTTTTGAATGATTTTGTTAGGTTAAGTTAATTTTTATTAATAAAAAAAATTCTTTAATTTTAGATTTTATTGGATACACCAAATACTTAAAATTGTTTTTGCCTTTGCCGTTCTTTAGATTGTCTGGCTCGTATTTACAATTATATGTACATAATTTTTACACGTTTGTTTTATATGTATGTTTCATATGTATTAGTTTTCTTTATATTGAACACATCTACTTTAAGGAATTTCTTTCTAATGTTGCATGTATATCTTGCCAAATATATAACTCAAAGTAACTTTTATACTAGTTTAGTTATTGTCAATTGTTTGTTAAAAAGTTGTTAACAGATAAATTAAGAATTTAGACCGTCATGCTATACAATCAAATTAGAATAAAATGTCATTTACAGTCAGAGCTTGGATCTTAGTAGCCTAATATTATTTCTGTGTGTATACATACACATATTTTCCAACCTTTTGTTAGTAAAATCTCTTCTCTCTTTGCAATAAATTCTTTACATAGTTATTTAGATGCTTAGCATTAAAGTTAAATCGATTTAATTAAAAGGGAGAAAGGGGATTTTATTACTCCAACGGGAACTGTATTGTATAAGTCTGATTTAATCGGAGCGCAGTTTATTAAGTTGGAAAGTATAATATGTGTATGTGCGTGTGTATGTGTGTGTGTGTGTGTGTGTGTGTGTGTGTGTGTGTATACACACAGAAATAAGATCCAAGTTCGGACTGTAAATGCATTTTATTCTAATTTGGTTAACAAATTAAGTTACAATGGATATTGAATACAATTTAATCTCAAATTTATTATATATAAATTCTATTATAATGTACAATTATTGGAAAATAAATGCATTTAGACAATTGAAAAGTTTTTCTCAAATGTAAACGTGCAAGCCTAATAATATTGTTTCACCTGTTGTGAGCGAACCGGTAATTATACAGCACCTAACAACAGCAAATGGCTTACCGTAAGAAATTCAACCCTAGCGACTGAAACCTTAGTTAGCATTCCATCTGGAAACCTGGTTGCTCGGGCTCTATCCGATGCAATCCAACCCCGAACCCAAAAAGCGCTGACAATTGAAAGTTACGAATCTAACTCAGAAACAATCCGAGTTAGCAACTGGACATCGAACCGACTCACAGTGGGCTATTTCGCCTAAAACGTGCGATATTGGAAAGAAATTTTTTATATACGTATTCGATGCAAAATTTTATTTCCTACAAAAAAGTTCTCTTGTACTTTTTTTGTATTTTGCGTCGTTTTTGAGATATTTTGAAAACATTGGAAAATAATATTTTTTGTTAATATCTCAGAAGTGCAGTCTCTGTGAAGTTGGCACCTCACTTTCAAAAATCGAAAGTTTTATCAACAGTTCCATTTGCACCCGCAATAGTTCTACAGTTCCTGATAATTTTTAGAAAGAGTTCCGTTGATTTAGTTAAAAAAAATAAATTTTGAAAATATGAGGTGCTAACTTCCCGTAGCACCTCATGTTTCAAAAAAAATTAATTTTAAACATGATATTTTATAGTTCTCGAAGAGTTTTACAGTTCCTGATAAGATTTAGCAATAGTTCCGGTCATTAAGTATTTTTAAACAAATTTTTAATCTGATCGCGAGCACCTCAAATTCCAAAAAAATTGATTTTTACCATGAGATTTTATAGTTCTCGAAAAGTTCTACAGTTCCTGATAGGTGTCAGCGACAGTTCCGGCCTTTTATTATTTGTAAACAATTTTTTAATTTGACCGCCAGCATCTCATCTACGAGAAATACGGGGTGCTGACAATTCTGATTGTTTTCTTCAGAGTTCTCGGCAGTTCTCACATAGTTCCGAGCATTTAAATACGTTTTGACAAGAGTTCCAGCTATTTACTATTTTTAAACAATTTTTTAATTCGATTGCCAGCACCTCATTTACGAGAAATACGGGGTGCTGACAATTCCGATCGTTTTCTTCAGAGTTCCCGGCAGTTCTCACATAGTTCCGAGCATTTAAATACGTTTTGACAAGAATTCCAGCTATTTACTATTTTTAAACATTTTTTTAATTCGACCGCCAGCACCTCATCTACGAGAAATACGGGGTGCTGACAATTCCGATCGTTTCTTCTAATTTGATTGTATAGCATGACGGTCTAAATTCTTAATTTATCTGTTAACAACTTTTTAGCAAACAATTGACAATAACTAAACTAGTATAAAAGTTACTTTGAGTTATATATTTGACAAGATATACATGCAACATTAGAAAGAAATTCCTTAAAGTAGATGTGTTCAATATAAAGGAAACTAATACATATGAAACATACATATAAAAAAAAACATGTAAAATTTATGTACATATAATTGTAAATACGAGCCAGACAATCTAAAAAACGGCAAAGGCAAAAACAATTTTGAGTATTTGGTGTCTCCAATAAAGTCTAAAATGAAAGAATTTTTTTTATTAATATAAATTAACTTAAACTAACAAAATTAATCAAAAATTAAAAAAAGATCTGTTACCTCTTATACTTGATACGACTAATTTCTAAAGTACTGTCATCTTCATTTAGAAGATAGAGACGTATGCCCATATAATGATTAAATAAATATTTTTTCCAGTTAAATCTGACCATACTGAATTGAAATATCTTTTGATCTTCACTACTCAGATGACTCCACATCTCTTGAACATTGTCAGTTGAAAAACTCCATTCATTTGTGCGAAACGGTTGAGTCGCGTTGGAAAATTTGTCGACCTTCTTACATAACTTCCACATTCTGAAATGCATATAAAACCATTATAATTTTTCATATTATAGATAAAATTTTATTTGGTTTCGATACAAACTATGTAATATATGCTTCAAGTAAGAGAAACGACATTTAAATTTACGTGATGATACCTTGGGCTACGATTTATACAGATGCTTATAGCATCTATAATTAAAGCTGGGAGGAAATGTCCAAGCCAAACGCAAATTCTGTATAGTATTTTGTGTTGGATGTAAATCATAAAAGGAAAATATTTGGCATTATATAAGGGGTACGTCTTATTTGTGTCGACAATTGCATTACGGTAGTCATTCCAAGTAGGTCCATCGACTGGTGACACGAAATTATAAATTAATGTATTCTTGCCTCTCCTACAAGATAAATTTATTTAAACATAATTATGTTGTACATTATACTTCTTTACATATCAAAGTCATTTATAATCATATGCTAATGTTCTGTGATTACGCATTGTAAGAGGATTTCAACAAACAGATGAAGTAGATGACATATATGCTCCAGTTGCAAAAATGCAAACGTTAAAAATACTTTTGGTATATTGTTGTAAAATGGGTTTAAATATCGAACAAATGGATGTCGAGACAGCCTTTTTGAATGGGAGAGTAACGTCTGAAGTATATATTAATCAACCGAAGGGATATGAAGACGGAACCGGTAGACTGTGTAAATTATTAAAAGCGTTATACGGTTTGAAAGAGAGTCCTAGAGCGTGGTATGAGTGTCTCGATAAATTTCTGTTGAAATTAGGATTTGAGAGTAGTAATATTGATTACTGTTTGTATATTTTAAAATCAAATAGAGATACAGTTTATTTACTTATATATGTTGATGACTTGTTAATTTGTAGTAAAAATGATGTACTGATAGAGGAAGTAAAGAAACTATTGTCGGAAAAATTTAAAATGAAAGAACTAGGAAAAATAAAAGAATATCTAGGGATTTTCGTAGCGTATGATGTGTCCCGTAAAGTAATTAAATTATCTCAACAGGAATATATTAAATCGTTAGCTGTGAAATACGATATAGAACAGTGTAAAGCGTACAAAACACCGATGGAGGTAAACTTAAAACTTGAGAAATCTGATGAGTGTGAAAGAAATATTAAATATAGAAATTTAATAGGTGCTTTGTTGTATATAAGTTCGGCTACGAGGCCAGACATAAGTTTTGCGGTAAATTATTTAAGTAGATTTCAGAATTGTTATAATAATACACATTTTAAATATGCTTTGAGAATATTGAAATATTTGTATTTGACTCGAGATTTAAGTTTACTGTATAATGGAAATAAAGACACAGAGATAGTTGATTGTTATGTAGATGCCGATTGGGCAGGCGATAATATTGATAGAAAGTCAACAACTGGATTTGTAATTAGATTATTTGGAAACATTGTATGTTGGAAGTCGAGAAAACAAAAATCTGTAACTAAAGCGTCAACGTTTGCTGAATATGTTGCGTTGTATGAGGCTGTAACCGAAATAAAATTGATAACTGAATTGTTAAAATTGTTTAATGTAGAGTGTAAAAAAGTTGTTAATGTATACGAAGACAACTCTGGTGCAATTAATATAGCTAAGTATGGGAATTTCACGAAAAATTCGAAACATATAGAGGTTCATTATCATTATGTGCATGAGAGTGTGAATGAAGGAAAAATAGATATTATAAAAGTTGATTCGAATGACAATGTTGCAGACATATTTACA